TTTTTTTTTTCCTTCCTTTTCTTTTTTATGGTTTTTCCTTTTCTGTTATTCTCTTTTCTTTTTCTATTCATTCCTCTTTTCTTCTTTCTTTAATTTTAAAGCATGGACCTAAATCACGTTTTACATAATTTATAATAGGGTTTGTTATATATCACCGTTTCATTTTTTTGCTCTTTTTGTTGTCTATTCCTCACGAATGATATGAAATAAAACAATGATATATAACAAACTCTCTTCTACAAATCTCATTCAGTCACAATCAAATTGCATAAAAATATATGACGGACTAATTTTTTTTTTTTTTTTTATCAAACAATCTCCTAAGACTCATTTGATATATACAAAATGACTTTATCAATCTCTTAAAAGACTGATTAGATCTATATAATATAACCATCCTCAAATTTGCAATTCCTTTAATACAATAGAAATAGAAAAATGAGAAAAATAAAAACTATGAAAACGATATTTTTCAAAACTGCTTCGTTTCACATGAATATCATCAGAAGATCGTTTCAACTAGTTAGAATTAGTAACTTGAATTAAACATGCTCGGAGATCGGCAACGACGACGCTTGATCATGAAATGAATTGATGACGATGAATCGTAGTTGATATGAGAAGCAACAATCCATATGCGGGTCCATTTTGTCGCGCTATCACGGAGTTGTCAAGACTATAGAGAGAAAAGAAGTAGGGTTTTCATGGCCACATAAAGTATGTTCCATCGTCAAATTACCTTGGTTGGGCACCTGCATTCAATGATCGAAGTGAATGATCAATGATAATAAATTGAAAGCAATCTGCACACCCACTCACCCACCCACCTTCCCTTCCTTAAACATAAAATCACTAGGAAGTATTGGTCCATTTATCTTCTGTAGTGTGTTCCCTCAGCCAAACTAAATTCAAATACCTTCATGTTTCTTTCCTTGGAGATAATATGGAACAATAAAATGTTAAAACCAATAACATAGAAGAGAAGAAAATTACTCTTCTGAATTCTCACATTTCAACAACAACTCATGGGTTTTCTTACTCAATTCTCAGGAAACATTAACAACAAAAGAAAATTTGTGCCATGTGGAACAGAACAGACGACAAATTTGAAATGCCAAGAAAATTTCAAGAAACAACCCACAAATTATTAAAAAAACAATGAACTATACTCATGTATGTATGTTGTACTTGCAAGTGTATAGGTATAAATGAAACAGAAAGAAGAAGTGTATATATGCATCTATAAAAACACAGTAAAAGATAAGGAGAAGAGATTGAAGATGAGTGAGTAATTTGTACCGAGGAAGAAGTGGGCTTTGCTTGTGAGAAGAGTAGGCTATGAAACCAGGGAGTCCAAGATTGATGGTGACAGAATTCGGATGGAGCGAAGAATACAAGTCTTGAATCAACGACCCATCTTTCAGAGCTGATGATTCTGAAACAGAGCTTTGACTCCTCAGGCCTTCTGGGCTCTTTGCCACAGATTGATCAAACACTGCCAACATTCTCTCTCTCTTCTCTCTCTCTCTAAACTTCCTTATAATCACAAGAACAAAATCTCTCTCTCCATATATATATATATATATGCAGCATATATTTTCTTTGAGATTAATGAAAGAAAATGTTCTTTCTGTGTACAAGAAATCAAGCCCATAAAACCCAAGAAATTAAACCCTATAAAATCAAACCCATTTATGGCAGCAACACAAAATCGGACTCAAGAAATCATATATATATCTATATTATACAAAAATCCAGATTAAATTGGACTTTGAATGGTGATAGAAACACAAGGTTTTTCCATGTCTCTGCTAGCACTAGGCAGAGTAGAAACCTTCTCAACTCTATTTCAGTTGATGGGGTATCTTATGAGGATCCTAACAGGATTAAGCTGGAGGTACTGCTCCACTTCAAGGGTCATTTTGCTGAATCTTGGGTATATAGGCCAGTTTTGGGGGGGGAGTTCAATTCTATTGAGCCAGGTCTTATTTCCCAGCATCTTGTTTCAGATTTCAAGGAGAATGAGGTTAAGGCGGCTATAATGGAATGCAATAACAATAAAGCTCCAGGCCCTGATGGGTTCAACCTGTTGTGTTATCAAAAATATTGGAAGATCATGAAGGAGGATATCATGCAATTCTTTAAAGATTTTCACTCCCATAGCAAGCTTGCGTATGGCATCAATAGTTCCTTCATTACTCTCATCCCCAAGCTGGAGAATCCTAATGGTATAACTGACTATAGACCTATTAGTCTTGTGGGCTCTCTATACAAAATATTGGCTAAAGTTCTAACGGGTAGACTGAAGGTAGTAATGCCCTCTATTATTGGTGAAACTCAGACTGCTTTTCTTGGAGGGCGAAATATCTTAGATGGAGTATTCATTGCTAATGAAGTGGTTGATGGCTGGAAGAAGACCAAGAAGTCGGGGCTAATTTTACAGTTGGATTTTGAGAAAGCATTTGATTCGGTTAACTGGGAATTTTTGTTTTCCATGCTTTCTAGTTTTGGATTTGGGTCTAAATGGATCTCTTGGATGAAAGTTTGTGTCTCTTCACCTCGGTTATCCATTCTTGTAAATGGATCACCAACTAAGGAGTTTTCACCACAAAAAGGTCTTAGGCAGGGTGACCCACTCTCACCATTCCTCTTCAATATAGCAGCGGAAGGGCTCAACATTCTTCTCAACAGAGCACTTAATCTTGGCACTCTCAAAGGAGTGAAGCTTGGGGCTAATGAGGTTCTCTTATCCCATCTCCAATTTGCAGATGATTCAATTCTTTTTTGTGAAGCAGAGTGGGATCAGTTGGTAGTTATCAAACGAATTCTTAGATGTTTTGAAACTCTATCGGGCCTTAGAATCAACTATCATAAAAGCGTTGTGTGCGGGATTGGTGTGTCGGATGACCTTATGCTGTCTTTTGCTAATCTCCTTAATTGTAAGGTGCATAAACTCCCAATGAAATTTTTGGGACTACCATTAGGAGCCAATCCAGGTAGGAAATCAATGTGGAAACCTGTTCTTCACAAAATCAAAGTCAAGCTTGCAGGGTGGAAGAGGAAATTACTATCTTTCGCAGGTAGACTAACCTTGATAAAGTCTGTTCTATCCAGCCTCCCTACGTACTACCTCTCTCTATTTAAGATGCCTGAGGGAGTTGCGAAAGAAATTGAGAAGATTCAAGCTGCGTTCTTGTGGGGCGGCAATGATCTAAAGAGGAAAGTTCATCTAGTGAAATGGGTGGATATAACAAAGCCTGTCAATCAAGGGGGTCTAGGTATAAGAAGGATTCGAGATGTGAATACCTGTTTACTTCTCAAATGGTGGTGGAAGTTTGGGAATCAAGTCAATGCGCTATGGAGAAGGGCTATTTGTAGCAAATATAAAATCAATGAAAACTGTTGGCATCCTCCTTTCGAACCCCATTATAAACACTCTAGATTGTGGACTGATATCATTTCCATTGGGGCCTCTAGCAGGAATATCTTCAACTTCTATATGGTTAACTGTCTAATTAAAGTGGGGAATGGGTCTAGAATCTTATTTTGGCATGACAAATGGTGTGGAGGGCTCTGTTTAAAATCTGAATTCCCTCTTCTTTACAACCTTACTACTGAAAAGGAAGGATCCCTTCATTATTTCTACCACAGGAAATCCAGCTCAGATAATTGGAATTTTCAGTACAGAAGAGAGCTTTATGATTGGGAATTACTTGAAGAAATTCGACTTGTTATTGTCTTATCCTCTTCTCCCCCTCTGTGTTTAGACATGGTGGATTGTCTCGTTTGGGCCAATGGTTCTTTCTCTATATCTGCTCTTTACTCTTTCAGCAGCTCCCAGCATGGCCCTCTCCTACAAATTTGTAAATTTGTCTGGTATAATGCACTTCCCCCCAAAGTTCTCTTTTTTGGTTGGCTAGCTTGGGAAAACAGATTAAAGACAGCAAAGCTTCTGCACAGATTAGGCATATTAAACAGCAGTGCATCCACCCTCTGCCCATTTTGCAGCTCTGAAATTGAAACTGCTGTCCATATTTTGCTTCACTGCCCTTTCTCCTGGAGTATCTGGTCATCAGTGATTCAGGACTGGGGATTTAATTGGTGCATTCAAGGTTCAGTAGAAGGTCTTTTCTACTGGTGGATGGGTGGAAAATTAAAGAGGCTCGAGAAGAAAATCTGGAAAGCAATACCCTTAGTGGTTCTGTGGTCTCTCTGGAAACATAGGAATGAGTGTGTCTTTTCTTTGTCTCAACCCAATTCCTTTGGTCTATATGATCTCATCAAAATCAGAACTGTTCTTTGGCTTAAAGCCACTTCAAAGGACTTTCCTCTCTCAGTTGATGATTATTTGTTCAAATGGAATCAGATCAGATGCTGAACCAGCTGGTGCAAATTAGGGACTAGGTTGACTATTTGTTTGATTATTAAGGCACTGCCTTCCGATTTGCTTCAAACCTTCGTAGGCTGCTGGTACATGTATTGTGGGGGGTGCATCTACTGCTAATGCTAACCAACACAAAGATAGACAGACCATATGATAGTCATGTTAACTATTAGTCACAGTACCTGATGTGTATCAAGATGAACCTGTCCTGGTTTGGTGTTTGGGCTGTCAAGATGTGGATCAAGGTTTCTACAGTGTAATTTTGCATTAGGAATGGCCCAGTGGTCTGCTGCTGGTTTTTGTCCTGTTTGCTGGTCTTTGTCCTGTTTTGGAGTCTTATGCTCTCTGTGGTATGGTTGTTTCTGAGAGAAGACATCGCTAGGAGATGGTGCTAGCAGCAGCAGGCAATGTTAGTTGGTGGAGTTTGCAGCTGGTGCCCTTTTTCCTCTTTGCTTTTGGTCTCCTTCTTCCTTGTTGGTTTCTCACCAACTCTCTTTATTGGTGTATTATTATTGTACCTTGTGCTAATTTTACATCAATAAAGCTTCTTTTTGCTGATAAAAAAAAAAAAAAAATCACAAGTGTCATAGAGAACCAACAGGTTCGACAAAGGTTAATGGAGGCTACAGAAGCAGGAGATATCAGTCTTCTGTACGGGTGTATACAAGACTACCCAAAATTTTTGGATAGTATAGATGAGATCCCTTTTGTTAATACTCCTTTACACATCGCTGCCTCAGCTGGACATGCCCATTTCGCTTTAGAAATGATGAGATTAATGCCATCATTTGGTAAGAAGGTGAACCCACAAGGGCTAACCCCCTTGGACTTGGCTTTGCAAAGTAGGGAAGGCCTAAGACCCTCGGACCCGACTTTGCAAAAAATGAAAGAGCTAAGCCCGGAGGACCTGTATTTGCCAAATATGATCACTTTGATTATAAGCCGGCTCATAAATTTTGACAAGGAGCTCATACGAGTCAAAGGAAGGGAAAGCTTCACTCCTTTGCACTACGTAGCTAAAAAAGGTGACATTGATCTTTTGGCTGAATTTCTATATGCTTGTCCGAAATCAATAATGGACCGGACAATTCGAGATGAGACTGCACCACACATTGCCACGAAAAACTCAAAGCTACAAGCTTTTGAAGTACTGTTGGGATGCCTTCGTAGGATCCGAAAACATCATCATGTGCTAGGCTAGAAAGATGATGAAGGCAACACCCTGTTGCATATTGCGGTGTCCACTTCACAAATTCAGGCATGCTATCTATCTATTCTTTGGTTTTCATTATAGTACTTAGGCCTGTTTGTTTACCGTATATAAGGGCTGGATATAATATGAGGTATGTCTTACATAGGTTTTTTGTATCCCTATATTATGTGTTTGGTTGCTCCGAATATAGAGAGTCCATATAGTATATAATACAAAAGGGTATATGCAATACCATCCCTTATGGTATTGTATATCTCCCACCGTCTAATATAGTTCGTCTTTTATTCAAAGGTACAAAGTAATCTCTCCTCTTATCTCATCCTATATCATATCTTAACTAAATATAATATAAGTGATCCACAATATATATAATCTATCGCATATCCTATAACATATATTATATCACATTTTGTGTACATTTCTTTTACGCAGATTGTGAATTATTTACTTAATAAGAAGATCAACCTGGACAAAAATTCAAAGAATTTGGAGGGCTAAACAGCACTTGAATTGCAACAACAGTTGTTGATCCTGATGATGTCGAAAGAGAAATTAAGGAAGCTTTAGACCATACAGGAACTTCAGAAAGTACATCACTTCCTAAGGATTATAGTTTTGATGAATTTTTTATGTCGCCATAAAAGATTATTGAAGTTTTTGGCCGACAATGGTTTATGAAGGAAAGGAATTGACAATGGAGAGGTGGAATGCAATACTGGTTGTAGCTATTCTAATTGCAATAACTACTTTCCAAGCCCTACTTAGCCCCCCTGGTGAAGTAGTGGGAGGAACTGGCGACAACAATAATCAACTTACTATCAACGAAAACCATATTAACACCACTATCATGTCCACCACCAGCAACAACAACCTTATTCCTACTAATAACGTCAGTTATATTAACACCAGCGTATTTACCAACATCGCCACCACCAATACCTTCGCCACCGTGGATCCTTCCAAGCAAGTTTTATTCAAAAAAACTAAGTTGAATGCACCTAGTACATACATATTCTTCTTCAATTTTTTTTAATTTTTATTTTCTAAACACAATATGCTTTCTTTATTCAGTCGCGGAAATTATATTTCTCCTCCCATTACAATATTTTAGTTCCTTCTGATGCTGAGCTATGGGGTATCATTTGCCGTCATATCAGCATCAACCTCATATACTACATAATTTTTCCTTTTATCATGTGTTTTTGCTGTTTTGATTTATTTCACGTTGCCATTAAATATCATGATTGGTGGTAACTTGGAGGCATCAATTGTTCTATTAGTTTTCGTGAAAGGACTTCAGAAGAAACGCCTTCAGATGCTGCTCCATTTGTTAGAAACATCATGATGTAGAACAATGGCCTCAAGACTTTCTACATATATATATATATATATATTATGCTTTTACTTTTGTTTTGTTTATCTTTATTAGACTGAAGAGTAAGATGCTTTTGGGAGCTTTGGTGTGTGGTGGTGTTGCTATTTATTTATTTTTCTTTGGCTTTTAGGGCATATCTTGCCTTCATTTTTTCTGTTTTTGGTCTTGAAGGTTTTGCAGATTTCTATGTGGAAGTTTAAGCAAATGTCTGTTTAGATTTCTATTCTACTACATTGCATATGGCTTCGTCCTATTGATGTACTACTACCTTTGTATTTTATTGTCTATTGTTTTATTAGCTTTCATTACTCTCTCTTTTTTATTTTTTTATTTTTTTTCCGTACAAATTAGGTTTCACTGTTTCAGCACAATGTTTCAAACTATTTGATAAATACAAAGACCAGGGTATTTTCATCTACATAAAATAAGATATGAGTCTTATTTTTTTTTTATCAGCAAAAAAACTTTATTGATAACATCAAACATACATACATATGGATAACATCAATAAAGCAGAGGCAAAGAGCAAAAAGCATCACAACAAAACCCTTGATCCCATCTATGTTGGCACCAAGGGAAACACCCAATCATATGCTAGCTCAAGCCAAAGGGTTGGTGAGAAACCAAACCCAACAACACAAAAAAACCTACAGCTTAGCAGAAGACACCAACCACAACAGCAGCTGAAAACTCAATCAACAAACAGAACAAAAAAAACAGCCCCAACAGACCCAAAAAAACCTCTAGCACAACATCAGCTCATGCAACATGCAAAACAAGCGACAAATAGGGCAAAAAACACCCACAAACACAGGCACAACAGCAACTCAGTCAACAGACATAACAAAAATACCCACAACAGCAGCTCAATGTACATCAGCAGCTTAGCAGCATACATCAAAAGAAAGCCTAGATCGTGCATCCGACTCCCTTATACCAGAAGCAGTTCATGAAGATCCTAAATAGCTTCTAACTTGGTGAAAATTGAACACGACATCATTACCAGAAAAAGAGGCAGCAGTAAGATAGGACCTCATCCAAATTGCTATCCTTACCTTGATACACTCACATAGATCATGAATATGAAGTGGGACTACCTTAAACACATATTCATTACGATATCTCCACACATACCACAATACTGCTGTTGGTACCACCCTCCACACCCGATTAACTTTCTTTCTAAACTTCCAACCCAACCACCAAAGTAATAAACCATCAATGGATCTAGGAATTGCCCACTGAAAACCCCAAAATTCCACTATAGCAAACCAATTTTTCCAAACAAAAGGACAATGGAGCATAACTGTGATAACCATGTTCCGTATTATGTTAATTGGTCTTTATTCTGAATATGATTATGTGTTTGATATGATTCTGTGCGCCATTATGTGAAAATATGTGGTTTTGAATTTCTATCTGTTCACCGTAGGAATATCTATTTGATTTTCTGCTTTGGAATTTAAATTGAAGGCCCTATTGGCCATAGAAACCGAATTTGACTGCGCCATTGTGATTGGCGTGATTTTTAGAGCCTACGGTGAAATTTAATTGAAAATTGATTCGGATCAAATTAATTAGTTTAAATTAATGGTTAGTGCTCAAATTGCTTAGTATTAAATAATGTGTTTAAGTGGGAATATATAAAGAGCCATTATATGTGCAATTCCTCTCTTTTATTCATTCTTGGCTGATGTTAGCTCAATAAAGAGAGAGGGTCGGCTAGAGAGAGAGAGGTAGAAGGAGAATTAGGTGTTTGGCTCAAGTTTGTGAAGATTAGAAGGTTGGACTCAAGATTCAACTAGGAATTGGGAAGATTAAAGCCTCTAAGGAAGTGAATTCATGAGTTTAATGTTGTAAATTGTGAATTCAAGTTTGATTAATGGTCAAGAACATGAATTAGATTGATTATGATGAAATTGAGTTGGTTTTGTTGAATTTGAAGTCTTAGAACACATGCATGTAGGAAATTGCTATGAATTTCCATGTTTGAGCATAAAATGTGTAATCTATGTGGAATTGTGAATGAAATCCATGTATTTGATCATCTCTTCACCAATTAAGTTGAGAATAATGAATATCTCCCACATGCAAGTGTAAATCATGGAGGTGTGAGCTTTGCATGTTTGAATTTAACGTGTTGGTGAGGAGCTTGGGTTAATTTGAGGCATGCATGTGAGTAATTCAAGGAATTGAGCTTCATTGTGTTGTAATTTGGTGTTTGTACCATGTTAGTACATGTATATGTGAAGTTTGAGCCAAAATCATGTATTTAAAGCCCTTGAATATCAAGTTGAAGCTCAAGAACATGTTCTGGAAAATCTAGAAAATTTGATGTTCACTCGAGCGGGAGAACCGCCGCTCGAGCGTGAATTACGAGCTCCCAGTATTTTCTGCAAACATGGTGTCTCGCTCGAGCGGGGAAGTTCATGCTCGAGCAGGGACCCTGTTTCTAAAAATTTTGAATGTGCATTCTGTGATTCGTTTTCCGATCCCTTTCACTTCTAAGTACTCTTGGGCATGCATTAAGCATTGTAAATGAATTAAATGGTTAAGAAAGAAGCCTAAAGAGGGATATGTGAATTGAAAATGGATTGAATCGTTTGTGACCCATATGTGTTATGTGATATGTAGGGTCAAGCTCCAGGGCAAATCAACCAGCCGATCACTGTGAGTAATATCTTTAAAAAGATATCTGAAGTATATTATTTGTCCAATTGCTTACTTTCATATAAGTCTTGTAAGTCTGTTACATTGAATCGGGGACAAATAATTATTATGTCATGTGATTGGGCCAAAGGCCGTCTGACACGAATGATAGTCTGATACGAATTATAGTTTGACATGAATGGATGGGCCAAAGGCTAGTTTGACATGAATGAATGGGCCGAAGGCCAGTTTGACATAAATGAATGGGCCGAAGGCTAGTTTGACATGAATGAATGGGCCAAAGGCCAGTTTGACATGAATGGATGGGCCAAAGTCCAGTTTGACATGAATGGATGGGCCAAAGGCAAGTTTGACATGAATGGGCCGAAGGCCAGTTTGACATGAATGAATGGGCTAAAGGCCATTTTGACATGAATGGATGGGCCAAAGGCCATTTTGAAATGAATGGATGGGCCAAAGGCCATTTTGACATGAATGAATGGGCCGAAGGCCAATTTGACATGAACGAAAGTACGAATGGGCCCAAGGCCAGTCTGACCTGTATGATACGAATGAATTGGGCCTGAGGCCGTGTGATGTGTTTGGAACCGTAACCACTTGACCTATTTATATATATACATTAGATAGAAATACGAATTGGGCCCAAGGCCGTTTAAAGTACGTTGTTCTAAATACCGTTCATGTAACTTCTTTATTTGATATTATTAACTGGGCTTTCGTTCACCCTCATTCATGTGTTTGTAGGTGAGCCAAGAGAGGTCCAAACCCAGCCTCAGTGAAGTCTGTATAGAACAACCAAGGTTTTGAAGAGTCAGCCTTTGCGTCTCACGCACGAGACTCGTCTTCGCCTTTTGTTATCCTGTTTTACTTTGTCATGTTGGCGAGGACTTTGAATACGTCTGTATATAGTTTTGATGGGTTGACTTAGACTTGAATGATCTTGTTTGTACAAAACTTTATGCTACTGTAATCTCTGATGTAAGTTATTAATGTATATGTGTATGGTTTGTTATGATGTGCCATGTAAGCACAGCTCTATGGACAAAGTTTTAAATTTCTTCCGTTTGACCCGCATTAACTCTGTTAAAGTACGTTTGGTTTGGTTTGAGGCCGTAGGTAATCTCATGATTACTGGCCGGTTATGTCCTTAACCCATGGGGGCGGGTTCGGGTCGTGACAATAACATGGTCAATTGATTCATTGCCCTGATGACAGAAAATACAAGTTTGAACATCATCCCCTGCCAAAATTCCAAATCTATGTAACATCTCTTTTGTTTTCAGTCTACCTCTCGAAGCTAACTAAGAGAAAAAAATTTCTTTAGAAGGTGAGAAATTATTCCATATAAGATCAACTGCTCTGTGACAGGGACCATCGTTAATCAAACTCTAATCATACACAAGATGAATATGGAATGTACCTGACTGTAAGGACTTCCACCCCAAACAATCAGCTGAATCACTTCTTAGAACAGGGCCAGAACCCAAAGCAATGATAAATCTGTCCAACTCACCTTCTTCCCAAGCCCGAAGAGCTTTTCTGAAATTGAAACCCCACCCAAATTGACTAGACCTGCGAGCTACCTGTATGCTTAAGGAACTCTCTTTATCAATAGCCAACTAGAACAATCTAGGAAATTGACTTGATAGATTTGTTGAACCCAACCAAATATCTTTCCAGAAACTAATCCTTTCTCCATTACCTATTAAGATTTCCACATTATCTTTATAAAATTGAAACAGATTTCCATTCCTATGGGCCACTGATAATATATCCTTCCAAATTTGAGATACATGGCCATGAGCAATCTGATCAGGGAACCATCTTCCCACAATAGAGCCATACTTCCCACAGATAACGATCTTCCACAATGCCTCATCCTCCTAACCATACCTCCACCACCACTTCAAAAGCAAACTGTCATTAGCTATCTTGAGATTTTTTATTCACAGACCACCCTATTTCAAGCTGATGCATACTTCTTTCCACTGAACTAGATGGAGCTTCCTGTTATACTCTGAGTCACCCCACAAAAATGATGCTTGAATCCTGTCAATCTCTTTTGAAACACACTCTGGCATTTTAAAAAAAGACATGTAATACACAGGTAATGCAGACAGCACAGACTTAATATGTGTAACTATACCGGCAAAAGATAGTATTCTTCTTTTCCAGCTAGACAACTTCTTCTTGAAATTCTCCACAACTGGCCTCCAAGTCAATCTCCTACTAGGGCTGGCCCCCAATGGTAGTCCCAGATACTTTAAAGGCAACTTCTTACTTAAACAATTCAATTTTGCAGCAAACTCTTCAACCAATTCATCCGCCACACCCACCCCACACACAACACTTTTGTAAAAATTAATCCTTAGACTTGAGATTACTTCAAAGCACCTAAGGATTCTTTTAATAGCCAATATTTCAGACCATTCTGCCTCACAGAAAATCACTGTGTCATCCACAAATTGTAAGTGAGATACATTGAATCCAGCATCACCTACTGAAATGCCTTTCAAAAAGACCCATAGCCTTGGCTCTTAAAATAAGAATATTCAATCCCTCAGCCACAACATTAAATAGAAATGGAGATAAGAGATCACCTTGCCTTAATCCTTTTTGTGGACAGAATTCTGGTAACGGTGATCCATTGACAAGAACTGAAACTCTTGCAGAGGAAATACAGCCCTTTATCCACTTGGTCCAAGCAGTACCAAAGCCAAAATTCTTCAACATTTGAATGAGGAGTTCCAGTTAACAGTGTCATAAGCTTTTTCAAAATCAAGCTTAATGATGAGACCCTTTCTATTAGATTTCTTCCACTAGTCCACAATCTTATTTGCTACAAGGATACCATCCATAATATTCCTTGCACTTAGAAAAGTTGTTTGCACTCTATCAATAATTTTTGTTAGTGCTAATTTAAACCCGTTGGCTGACACTTTGGACACCACTTTATAAACTGAACTAATAAGACTAATAGGTATAAATCTTTAATTGAGTCAAGACTATCAACTTTAAGAACAAGGGTCACAAAAGAACAATTTATTCCATTACCCAAAACACCATTATAATGAAACTCTTTCATGAATTCCATGATATCACCCTTCATGAACTTCCATCCCTTTTGAATGCAAGTCATATTAAACCCATCTGGACCTGGAGCTTTTGTACCATCACATTCCTTGATTGCAGCCCATACCTCCTCTTTTGAAAAATCCTTCACCAAACAATTCTTAAGCTGACATTGATCAATGCATCTAAACTCACCTCCTAGTCTTATTAATTATCTGAAAAATATTAAATTCATTTATAGTTTTGTTCAACATTTCCCATATTAGTGTGAGTAGTTAGAGTCATTTATAATTATTTTTAACACGTGCCTTAACAATACCATTCTTATATTTTGTTGCTTTTATCATTTTGGTTCATGTAATTTTAATTAGTTTGATTTTGACTCTTAATTTAAAATTTTGTGTCAATTTAGTTTAATTGATAACATTTATTAGAGCTTCTGAAAGAAAATAGTTACTGAGTTGGTTGAATTTTTTTTTAAAGCAACAAAAGAGAGCCCTTTATTAATGAAAAAAAATACATCAATATCTAACAATTGTAATCTATTGAATGAAATTGAGATGAAATCATAAATTTAAGAACAAAAGCGAGCCAATTGAAATATAGGAACTACCAGTGCAATTTACCTTTAATTAATTTTTTTAAATTGCCAATCTTTCTTCAATGAGTAATGCTATATAACCCCAAAAAGACATAAAAATAAATAAATAAATAAAACTTGTATAAAATGATATGGTGACATTGTGAGCTTATTACTTTAAAATAAATAAATAAATAAATAAATAAAATCTTGAACTCTCATTGATGCCAAATGAAAATTAAGCACATTAAAATCATCTCTTTAAATTGTTATTGATGAGAACACAATTTTGGTGAGAAAATTCGGGAGCCCCGTTTTGAGAACAAATTATTTTGTTTATAAAAGTCTATTTATTAGCGGCATTCTAAAAGCCTTATTTTTTACTTTTCGAGACGACCTTTTGGGCACTATCCTCAGGACGATAAGAATTTGTCTTTACATGTCATTTGCAACAAAATTTTTCTCTTTTAGAGATCAAAAAAATTGGTCTTTAAAACTCTTATATGTTGTAGTGGTGATTATTTGGTGCTCCCAAAGTACCGTCGCATGGTACTCTGTGGTATTATAATTAATGGAGAAGGTGTGGGGTATTGTAATTTTGAATTGGGTGATTAAGAAACATAAAGGGATATAGTGAATGATAATTGATGAAGAAATATAGACACGTTATACTCCAAATATAGCGATCCCGGGTTTGACCCCTTTATGTACAGTGTTCCGGACTTAGGTTCCGTGGAGTTGGTGGTTGTATGTCCTGTTGTCATCCTTTAAATTCCATATGTCTGAGTTTTAGGATGTGTTGGGCGTGTTTCGAACAGGTTGGTTGAGCCTTAGTCCCTTTCCTTGTTGCCCAGATTTTTGGTTGTCCGCTCGAGCGAACCATTTTACGCTTGAGCGGAGTTTTCACACTTCCAGTATCTGTGCCTCTGCAAAACTTCTGCAGATGTGTTTTTCACGCTCGAGCGGGTTTCCTTACGCTCGAGCGGGTCTGTTGGCGCTCAAGCGGGGTGTTCATTGTCTGTGAAAATATTGGGAGAGGAGAATCTACGCTCGAGCGAACTGGTTTTTGCGCTCGAGCAGATGTATTTTATTCTTGTGTCTTGGCGCTCGAGCGGGCCTTCTTGCGCTCGAGCGGGTCCAGTTTTTGTGTTTGACGCTCGAGCGTCTTGTTATCCGCTCGAGCGGGAGAGTCGTATATCAGTTGGCAGCTGTGATATTTTGAATCACTTTTTACACACTCTCTCTCTCTTACTTTCTAAAAGTATCTTTTGAGAGAGCTCCTCTCTCTCTAGGGTTTGATCTAGCTAGAGTGATTCACTCCCTTGGTGTCTTTGTAAAAAGTGTGTTGATCGTTGAGGGCTACATTTTGATCCAAAAAGTTTGGAGTTTGGAGCACTTTGAGTTTGGTCTTCTTCTCCATTTGAGCTCTAACTTCGAGGTAGGGATATCCTACTCCATCTTATGAGCTTTGTCTTTAAATTTTGGCATTTTGATATGTTGGGGGTTATTGGGTAATTTTGAGAAAGTTTGGGGTCCATGTGTAATTTTAAAAAGAGGGGTTTTCAAGTTTAAAACCCATATGTATGTAATATGTTGGAAGATGGAATTGTATGTGGATCATTGATGAAAATGGAACCTTAGGGTTGATATTGGGAATATGGGGAGAAGCCCTAATTGTTATGATAAATTAATTTGAATAATTAATTTAGGGAAATGAGAAATTGAATAGGAAATATTCAAATTTGAAAGGTATGGGATTAAAGGGTGTAGTTGGATTAATTTATCGCTCACCTAGACAAAATGTTGATATTTTATCCATTTGGTGCATTTATTTTCTGTTTAGAAATAACTGCTTTGGGCTATCGGTGGAGGATAGTCTTGATTGTTGTAGACAATGCATGATGATTAGGCAAACTAAAACTAATCAATTGGGTATACTATCGAATACAGCGGTTGGCATAATACATCAAATTTTGTATTGATTGATTAAATCTGTATATGATAATTGCTTATATACATTGTATTGTGTGGGAGGAGATGGGAGATGTACTCCACGGTTTATTGGAAGATGGGGATGAACCTCTAAACCGGATATTGTTTGACATCGATACAGCACTACCATGTGTATCATTTGTGAATTATAGAAGTGTTTTGTTTGACATTGATATAGCACTACCATGTGTATCATTTGTCTTGATTGATTAAATTTGTATATGATAATTGCTTATAGACATTGTATTGTGTGGGAGGAGATGGGGGATATACTCCACGGTTTATTGGAAGATGGGGGATAGACCTCTAAATCCGATTTTGTTTGAGATTGATACGGCACTAAAATGTGTATCATTTGTGAAGTATGGAAGTGTTTGTTTGATTTGATATAGCACTAAAATGTATATCATTATCATTTGTGAAGCATGGAAATGTTTTTGTTGACTTTGATACAGCACCAAAAAGTGTATCCATTATGAATTTCGAAAGTATTTTAGTGATGAGTTATCATCTCATTAAATTATGTGGCTAGACTCTGAGCCTTGTTTTCAAACTTAAAGTTGGATAAGAAATGGAAAATGAATTGTAATATGGACATGATTGTCATGAAACTGTAACATGGTATACGTTGGAATATAAGTGTGGACCATCTATCTAATGCTATTGTTTTTGTCATTGTTTATAGTTTGTTTAGTGTATTTCTACTGGGCTGTGGCTCACCCTATATGGGACTTCATTTTCAGGTACTGATGGTATGCCACCTCCAAGAACATAGCTTGGGAGGCTAGAGGCAGACAGACTATTTTGTTGTTGTGTTTTCTTTGGATGTATTTCATGTAAATTCAAGCCAAGGGCTTAATATGTATTTGAGTTAGTACTCTCTTTTTGTAACCAAGTGTTGACTTGGAAAGTTGTAAGCCTATAGGGCAGTTACTTTTGTTGTCAATGTGTAATACAATTTGTAAGGATACTCTGATGATTGTAATATAATATCTCTTTCCTGTAACTTGATTGTATGATATTATGGGTTTATTTTGAGGGCGTTACAACTTGGTATCAGAGCTTATCGGGGTTCGAATACTTTGGGTACGTGGGAAGTGATTTGTATCACAATGGGTTTGTCTCGCTTGTTAGAGACTTAGATGTAATGTTATGTGCTTATGTGATAACATATTTATGCGATTACTTGGGTATGGGATTTAATTTCCGGGATGTTGATTGGATCCTTGGGTTTCTGTGAGTCTTGTTGGAAAAGCACTTGATCGATGCTGTTTCTAACCGGAACTCTAGTAACGCCTCGGAACTATCATTATTCGGAAATGAAATTCGTAAGTGCTTATGTGTTTATGTGCTTACGTGGAATGAATTACAACCGTCTATCGTGTTAGGACGCTAGTGAGATAGTTTCGGCACCCTTGTTGTTGTGCTAATACCTTTGTTACTTTTACTAGGATGCCTAGACGAGGGAGTTGTGATTTCCCTCCTTCCGCTCGGGAAGGGTTACGAAAACAGTTTGTGGAGTTACGCCAAGGTACTATACCTTTGGTACGGTTTGAAAGATGGTTTGCTAACCTGTCGAGGTTTGCTCCAGAATTGGTGGAGATGGAGGAATTGCGTTGTTCAGAGTTTGAGAGTAAGCTGTGTGACGACATCCGTGAAAGGATAGCTGGGTCTTGGCATAGGAGTTATAGTATGCTTGTTGAGGCGGCTGCTCATGTTGAGGCAGCGGTGCTAGCTATGGGGAAAAATAGGGAAGAGCCCATAGTTGAGAATGTTGGTCAGATTAGGGAGGAGGCCATCTCGGTGACTCCCACAACTTATAGGTATTCTAGGCCTAGTAAGAGGTGGAGGCGAAAGTATGCTCAATCCCAGTCTAAGTTCTTTTCTTCGTCAGGGGTTTCGGACTCTTCTGTTGGGTGGTCCAGAGAGGTTCAGGTTGTCACCTGTTTCAAATGTGGTCAGCTGGACCACAAGTCCCCGGCTTGCCCACAGAGGAAGAGGGCTGGGTTGACAGTTCGACCAGTAGTAGCACCACCAGAATCTTTTAGCCAGCCAGGTTTTGGGCCGATCGAATGCTCAGTGGGGAAGCAGTTATTCGGGTCTCCATCAGCTCAGGCTTTGAACCAGTCTTGTGCTAGGGAGCCGCTTATTTGTTGGGTGTGTAATCGACCGGGTCATCTCAAACGTTTCTGTACCCAGCAGGGGGCTTCTTTGGGGGTTTTACAACCTAGTCGGGTCCAGCCTTATTCGACTGGACAGGGACAATATCATTTTCGGGAACAACCAGGCCAGACTTCGAGGGCCTCAGGAGAGTCGAGTTCTCAAGTCCCACTTGGGGAAGTTCGCAGTTGTTCTAAGTGTGGCCGGTTGGGGCACATCAGTAGTTTTTGTCCGTGGCTTGTAAGCTCGTAGGATATCTTGGGTCTGAGGATGACCAACTTTAGCGATCCAGTGAGGGACGGTAGTGGTGGTAATACCGATGGGGTGGTTTTGTTTTGACTAATTCGTTTTGTAATCGGTGAATTATCATTTTGTAATCATTGGGTTCTGTTATGTAACCAATGTGTTTTGGGAATGTTGAAATATTAAAATTGCTTGTTTATATATGTATGTCCCTGTTTAATAATCTCCGTGGGTTGTGCGGATTGGAGCATGTTGTGGCTCTAAAGTTTTATTAATGTATTAAGTTGTTGTAAAACCATAAAATTTTTGGTAATAATGCATTTTTTATGCGTGTGTTTTGGTTTGGGAAAAATGAGGGCTAATGAGCCATGTTTTCAAATTTGGAAGGATTACTGAGGGATGCGTATCTCAGTCAAGATTACTAGGGGGCGAGAACAGTTTTACTTGCCGGGTGATCGGAATCTCATTAGTGTTATCTAATTGATTTTATGTGCGTGAAAGTGACGTTGATCTACTGTCGCGGGAACTCCTCAAGGGGATGTGAAGGGTACGATTAATACTAGGTGTAATATGTATTTAACATGGTATTTTACGGGGGCATAGCGCATGACCTTGTTAGGATTAGACTTGTACCTTCGTGGTAGGTAACGTGCCGAATCTACATATGTACTGATTGGTCGTTTCGATTGAGGGAGTGTTAGTCCCTATATAAGGTTGTGGTTGCTGGCTTCGGGGAGTGGTGTGTTGTGAGCAACTGGTGCTATATCTCGGGTAGTAGTATATGGGTGTCTCCTAAGTTTTCGGGCTCCTTTATTATGATCGAATGGTGGTGAGTGAAATTTCTAAATGAGGAAGTTTTGCATAGTGCGGTGTGTGATAGTGCCTGGTTCGTATGCTGTTAATAGATGATGTGTAGAAGGGGATCACTCTTAGGGAACCCCAGGCGAATGCCTTGGTAAGGCTATAATGTGGTTATTGATGGAATCGCGTGGTTTGAGGTTTGGTAAAGCTGGGTCACTTTGATATAAGTGTCCGCCATCCAGTTTGGATTGTGATAGTACAAGTGAGGAAGTAAGGTTGTGTAGAGTGAGTGAGGCACGCTGTTAGAGTCGTTTGGACGCGTTCGGTCCTTGTTTATGCGTTGTAAGGCATGGGGATGTGCAAAGTTACCCTTTAAATTTAACAGATGGAATTTAGCTTGAATTTATAATTACTTTTGAGAGAAATCAGAAGAATGAAGACCAAGAGTTATCAAGAGTTACCCGATGTTAAGACATCTCGGGTAATAACAATTTCAAATACTCAAATCTGCATACATACCCATCAATAAAATCAAAAGAGCCCTTAAACTGTTCCGGAAGATTGAGAAGAGAGAAGTCTGCAAAAGGAAATCTCCCTTGGTAGGCAATGTTATGGATACAAAAAACAACCTGCCATCATTTGTCAGTACTAGTGTTAAATCCCAACAAATAGTCCTTGTCATTTGGCTAAAATTCTTCTGTTTTAATTTTATTCTTTGCCTGAAATTCTTAACGACGTAATTGAGCAATCTTACTCTGGAATTCTTGTAGATCCCCATAGGTTTGTACTTGGTCTTCAGATAACATGGAAGAAGAGCAGTGTGCCAATCATTGGCAATGAAGACAACATCCTCCCCTGCATTTGTACGAGACAGACATGTTACACCATTTATAATAGAATGCAAAATAAATAGATAAATAAAGGTACAAACTTTGAGAATGGAACATACCATAAGGTCCAGAGAAATATTTATTGTTGTTTAGATTCAAAATCCTTAGTGCCTCCAAAGTAGCCTGGGTTCAACATAATAAATGAATGCCAGTTATATACTATATAAGCAATAGTGTAGAACTGCATACATGATCAGGCGTAGGCTAACAAAAATCTTGGGTAGGCAGTAAGAGGAAATAAAACAATGATATACCACAGGTGGTCATTATGTAAAACAAACAAGAACATGGATGATTGACTCGTGTTGAATGCAAAGCCATGTAAATTTGGAGCACAATGCCAACCTTTGGCCTTGACAGCCCATCGACCGATTACTTCTCTAATATATAATGAGCAATGATATACAAAAATATATATATATATATTTTCCTACCAAGCACTGTGGTTTATAATTTCAAAAAATTTCACTGCCACAGCATTTTTAGTGAGTTTTCGGTATAAAATTTCTGCTTGACAATCATTTTCCATATATAATATAGTAGGAAGTTACGACAAAACAACTACACTTTTTTATTTTGAATCAAGTGTTCAAAGAATGAAAATCATTCATGGAGTTACGGGCTTGAAACTACAGGTTGCATCAAATAACTTACTTGGCACAATATACTGAATCAAATTTGGTTGTCCTGGTAATCCTCCCGTCTTAGGCCCATAGATCTTAGATCCAGTTTTACCCCAAACCTTTGAAAGTACAGAAATTCAAGCATTAGAACTAAGATCAAGCTGACTATTACAGCTAAAGCATATATAGTTCTCCCCTAAATACGAGAACAGTTGATTGAGAACAGAAATAAACCTTTTCCAGGAACATTGGGTGATCTACAAAAACACGATCAACTCCACGTTTGTAGCAGTGGAAGAAGCGAACTGTCTCTATTCGGTCTCCAATTTTTATCTGCAATATAGAAACTTATCTTTGAAGAAACTAATCCCAAGAATCATTCGCTAGACTAGTATATAGTAAAACCTAACCTTGCATTGAAATGGTTGGAATTTGGAAAAACAAGCACATAATAGAATTTAACTGAAGAAGAACATGAGTATCCCATGCATCTTTGTACTGCTCGTAACGTGGGGAAACTGTCATAACACGATGCCCATTGCCCTAGATGATGATTTGGCATAGAAATCAGATTAGTTAAAAATTCATCATCCTAAATGTTTTACCAATTTACCACAAAACTAACCAAGAAGATGATTCAACTATAGTAGCAAATCAACAAGTATAGTAAATAAAAAAAATAGAGCTGGAGACTGATGCTTACCGCCATGGCTGGTGGCAGTCCCCCAAGAACATCACCAAGCCCTCTAGTTTTGCTCCATGGACCCACCTCAGCTCCCACAAAAACAATGTTCATCCCACTTCCACATATAATGGCGCTTGATGGTCTATCATTCTCAGTTTTGGGACCATTTTTGTTACTAGCATGCTTGGCGATTGCTTTCGCGTTCTTTTTCATTTGTAGCATGTCCAACTTGTTCAAAGATCTTAATCCATTGTGAGTCATAGTTTGTCTCTTCAGCAAGTATTGCACTCATATCATCTGCAGTCCGAAAATTCATTCCCAACTCCAAAACCTGCAATTAATGATTTCCTGTAGTGGTAGTGTTGCTTCTCCACAAAGCAATAATGCCTTCATCCTTAATTGTTCGGGCAAAGTAGTCAGAAATTCCTTTGTATGGTTCAGACAGCCGACAAGCTTTGATCATCTCATCCTGGTTCTGAATCAATAGCTTAACTCGCTCTATCGGAGCAGCAGCAGTCTTGGATACAGCAGCAGAAACTCCTCCCATGAGGAAGTCTATCATAATACTATGAAAACCTTTTTCTGCGGGAGCTTGTACAAAAACAGAGGATAGTGGTGATGCAAATTCTAGGCCAGTGCCTTGGAATGTTGGTGGCAGAGGACTCTGCAAACCTCCATTTACATATGCACCAGTCATATAGTGTAAACCAGTATTCCTAGAGCGCAAGTTAGGAGAAATTCGAGATAAGAAATAAGATTGCCCATATATCTTCTGGGAAATTGATGGATGCTGTGATCTATCTGCCATATTTGCAACTCGAGGTGGCGACCTACAACAGAAACCAACATTAATTACATACAAGAATAAAACAAAAACAAGCATATCAAACAAAGAACACAATAAAGGTTTAAATACAAGGAACAATAGAGAAAAAGGTTTTTCCCTACGCAATCTTTTCGCTACTATAAACACTGGTGCCAAAATATTTTTATTCCGAGATAAGAAATAAGTTTTTTTTTTTCTTTCTTTTTTCTCATAGTTGAGCTGGAGAACATTTAAAGGAGAAAACAAGAATGTTCAAAACTTGAATCTCCCATTTTCTAGTTGCTCAAATATGGAGAAGCAAGCAACAACATGTGAGGGAATCAACATACACGATGAAAGGACCTCATCTCTAGTAACATAAAATCCTTTTCTAAGGCATGCTTGTGCTAACACTTACATATATACATATATAGTCATAGACCAATGAAAGTACCACCATAATAAATACTTTGGAGTTGAAGTTGTATACTATAGCTTTTGATAAGAAAGTAAACACATTGGAAAGATTAGAGATTTAAAGCTCACATTAAATCTGGTAATGTGAACATTAAACGTCGCTAGATTAAAATCATTAAATCTGGTAATGGAAATAATTAGCTATCATTACCAGATTAGTCATTACGAACATTAAACTCTTAAAATTATATAAATTTGGAAGAGGAAAAAAGAAAAAAGAGAACTACCTGAAACATCAGATATCACCATTTCTCTACTAGAGAGTTCAGTTGTCGTTAATTCTCTGGCATCACATGCCCAGCTAGTGCCCAAAACGAAAAGAACAAAGAGTCCAACCGTTGCAACCATGGTGCCTGAGGCAAAAGAAATTCAATTCAACCCAAAAAGCATTGAAAAAACAAAAACAATATGAAAGGAAAACACTCAAATCACCAATATGATAAGTAGTGACGTTTAAAAAAGCGCCGTTAAATGAATGCCATTAAATCCTATATTTCCTGTAGTGAATTGAGGTTGTATTTAAACTTTAAATTTGAAAAAATATTTAAAAGTTAATTAGACAGTAGAGAGCCTTTAATAAATTAGTCAGTACAAACGAAATACGTAATGAGAGTCATAGTTATAAACCATAATCACCATGTCAATCCACAAATTATCATTGGCCAATATTCAGGCCTCGTTTGGCAAGAGGCTATTTTAGCCAATTAGCCAAAAAGTTACTAAATTAGCCAAAAAGCCAACAACCCATACCAAAAAGTCAAAGATTCTCTTTTCTCTCTACTTTTTGCACATCTTTTCGTAATTAGCCAAAAAGTCATCCCAAACATACAAGTTTTTTTTACCTACCTTTTTAGCCAAATAGCCAAAAAGTTACTAAATTAGCCTGTTCCCAAACGAGGCCTCAAATAGGGTCATGAAATGAGGTTTTTGTATTTCTACTTTGTATTTAACTGCAGGTCGCAAAATTCACTACTATAACTTTTATTTATTTGTCATGCAGTTATATTACAGTTATATTTGTAATAAACTAAAGTATTACAGTTGTATTTCTACTTTGTATTAAACTAAAGTATTACAGTTATATTTGTCATGCAGTTAGTTAAACGTGGCATGCAGATTGCTACTATGACTTACAAATACACATTATAGATTGGTGGATAGCTTGAATCCAATGATTTTTCCCTTAAAATCAGTAATATGTTTGTTTGAGTGGATTGGATTTATGGAATTAACATTATTAGGATGGTTTGGGATTATTAATTCTTTTGGATTGTGTATCATATCTTATAGTTGGATTGGTATGGGATTATACGATGAGGTTGATAGTCCAAACCTCTCATTAATCTTTTATTTTGTACGAGGGATACTATGTATTTATGCATTTTTTTAGATTATTTGACCAATCCTATGGCCAAGTTCGCCCAAACAAACATGCCCTAAATATAAAACTAGCAAGCACTTGGAGCTTTACATACCATTTGGCTTCTAAGTTAGTATTTGATTAAAACACATGTTGGAATGGTATTGATTATTCCATCGGTTCGGTAAAAAAGAAGGAATGTGTATTGCAAATAAAATCACTATTCACCAATCTAGAAAAAGGATAAAAGACAACTTTAGTCCCTAAAGTATGCGCTCTTGTCATTTTAGTCCTTTAAGATTCAATTTTGTTATTTTGGTCCTCAAAATTGTCAATTTAAGTCAATTTAGTTTTAGGTCTAACGTCCATCTACATTGATAACAGGAAAATAGATAAAAGATAATTTTAGTCCTCAAAGTATGTATTCCTTGTTAATTTAGTCCCTTAAATTTTGATTTTGTTATTTGGTCGTCAAAGTTGTCAATTTGTGTTAATTTGGTCTTTGCTCAAACTAGAGGTGAGCATTTGTCGGGTTGGACCGTCACTACATAATAAGGGATTTTATATCTTCCCAAGTCCGACCCGGTCCTAACATCAGGCCTTTACATTTGTACAAGTCGACCAAAAAATAATTACAAATCCCAAGTCCACCCATCGGCCTATATGTTAAAAACAAAAATTAAAACATTTCATAATTAAATTTAATCACTCATTATATTTTCTTAAATAAATATACTGACATCATTATAAATTGAAGAATTTCATTATAAATTGAAGGATTTCTTAAATAAATTGAATTAAACATCACTACAAATGTGAGTTTCAATAAAATTAATAAAGATAAAGTCTACATCCCAACAAAAAAATATATATTTTTTAATATGTTATAATTAATTAATTTAATAGCTGGCTGAGCTGGGCCAAGCTGGATTGAAAGTAAAAATTCTTAACTCATCACATTAATATATTGGGCTAAAAATATTGGTCCAGCCAGACACTATAAGCTAAAACAACCTTCCCAAACCCTAAAAACAATAGAGTCGAGCTGAGCGGGCCAACGGGTCAATGGCCACCTGTAACTCAAAGTAACAACTCTAAGAACCAAAATAATAAAATTAATTCTTAAGGAACTAAAATGACAAGAAGTGCATACTTTAGAGACCAAAATTGTCTTTTATCTACGGATAAAATACGTTTCCCGTTTTCAATGTAAACGGACATTAGAGATATGATCAAATTAACTTAAATTGACAACTTTAAGAACCAAAATGATAAAATTGAAACTTTTTTTTTTTTTGAACAGCAAAGAAGAGAACTATATTAAAGAAGAAAACTATTACATCAATAAGAAAAAGAGGATGAGTGTAAAGCATCAAGGGTTGGTGAGGATCCAACCACAAACACCCAAAACAACCTCACCTAAGAAAAGGCTAACCAAACTTAAAGCATAACAGACAACCCAAAGACTAGCCAAATTAAAAACAGCAGCAGATCACCCTCAAGCAGAACACCAACTCCAAAAACACCAGCAGCACTAAAGCAGAATGAAAGCAGAGCTAAAACAGAACTGATGATCACCCTCAAGCAGAACTGAAGCTGCCACAAGAGACTAAAATAATATGAAACGAATACTATAGAGGTCAGAACTATTTTTATCAATGGAGAGCGTCAAAATTTGTGAAGTGTAAATGTGTTAACCGAGACATATAATACACATCTCAGAGGGTGGTTGTGGAAATATGAGAGCCATACATATTATGGGAATACAAGTTGCATTGAGGACGTGGAACAGTAACAACTACAGATGTTATAGTTGAGAATGTCAATTTGATTGTGAAAGTTTAACTATTATGGGACTAGTTTTGATTTACTTTAGTAATTTAAATCGTTTGTCTTATATAATTAATTGAGAAAATTATCTATACAAAATATCAAATTCAATCAACATAGATTGTTATACCATTAACTCATTTTTATCTATACAGTGTATATATTTTAAAAAATTGATTGTTCATTTGTTATAATATATATGTGATTTGATCATGTGAACATTTATATTTGATTATTATAATTTTTAGCATGCATGCTTTTTGAACTTATCAGGTGAAATGAACAGTTCAGATTAGGAGATGGATCCAAATTGATTCTATACCTAAGAAGCACGGACACTTCTAAGAAGGTGACGTATCCGTGTCGTGTCCGTGTCGGACACCGACACTCTTTGGACACTCTTAGGACACGTGTCCGATACTCTTCAAAACGTGCCCTATTTTTTAAATATTTTTAAAGACCCGGACACTCTTTGGACACTTGGAGGACACACGTGTCAATTATTTAAACACATGTGTCTATTGATTATAGATATGTAAAACTAATTATAAGTTTGAACAAAACAACTTAAGATACAATAATAAAACAAAAACCATATAAATTTATAGGAAATAGTGCTATATTGCATTTTTTATTATCTTTGAATGATATATTCATATATATAACATACAATAAATATATAAAATTATATATTTCATGAGTGTCCTCCACGTGTCGTGTCCTGCATTTTTTTAAAATTAACGTGTCGGCGTGTCCGTGTCGTATTCGTGTCGTGTCACGTGTCCGTGTCCATGCTTCTTAGTTCTATACACAAGCACAAACCTCACTGCCAAATTTAGTTTCATTGACTACTAGAAATGAAAGATTTTTCAAAGAAGACACACGTATGAGAATGGGAGACAGATATTGACTTGAAGATGTGCTTTTACCTGCTAACTTCTGTAACATCTTTGAACATATGTTAATGAATTTAATGCATGCTATGTTACTTATCAAAAGACCATGCTACATTTCTTATCCGAAACATCAATGAAATGCATAATAAAGCACTCAAAACAATCCTAGCAGAAGCCATAATATCTGTGTTTCCAGAACAATTCCAATTGAACTAGTGTGTGGAGGTAAGGTAACAACTGTCCAACGAAAACTAACGCTCATATAAATGTGAAGGACTGATCCATTCTTTTCATATCTTAGATCCTAATCTTGGTTCCACAAGATCCATTTTCCCTAAATAAATATTCTTCAGACCAGGAACA